GCTAGTTTTCTTGACTAGGGACATTAAACTGAGATGTGAGAACTCATTTCTGATCTTGTTGGGAGTTTTTCCTCGAATACATATATGATATATGATTAAAGTGAGATTTTTTAAAAATATGAACTATTGATAAGAGTCTAGATAGTACATGGTTTTTTACAAATCACATCTGCATTAATATTTTTAAAGTTTCATTTAATTCCATAAATGATGACAAAAGTACAAAGTAAAATCGAGCACGTTTTATCATATACGTTTTCTTTCTTAAATCCAAAGACGTTATTTTTTTAAATGTTATTGTAATTTTTTTTTTTAATTACCATAGTAGTAAAATTATTTGATATTGCTTCATGATTCCAACAAATTTATCTATATATACAAATATAGAACTTCTTCAATTCAGACTTATATCGATTAATGAAAAAGGACTACAGTAAATAGTAATGAAATCTCTAGCAGTACAAAGCCTACAAATACTGAATCTGTTTCAGTTACTACCAGGGCTGTGTTGACATGACAATGGTGTGATATTGTGTGGTGATGTGAAAACAGTGAATGATATACACACAGCCATAGCTTTCATCTAAATGTCATTACTATAACAATCAGTTCAAAGAAAATGTGTCCATATCACATTTTAGGGATTTTTTTTCTTCAAAAATTAACAATTAATATATAGAAAGGAAAAATATGTTAAATTTACTTTTGGTCATATATAAGAGTTTTATATTTGTTTACAAATTTGAAAAAAATATTTAACATGTAATCATCGTGTATGACATCAAGGCTATAATAACTATCAATAATTTAGTCCATTAGAAAACTTTTAGACTTAGTTTCAGAATACCGTGTATGTACATGTATTCTGAAACTAATACATCATAGCAACATGTAGTAAAACAACGAACATTTCCAAACATTTATTTAACATTTAAAACAAACCAAACAAAATATTTGTGAACAAATTGTGCCAGATTAGAACAACAGAAAAGAACACATAAAAATCTTGCACACTAAACACAAATTAAACAAACACTTTTAAAGATGTTTCAGCAAAGCCAGCTACCGTTCACACAAATCTGGCCAGGAAAAACAGAATTTTGGTTGCTCTACCTTTTTGTCTTTAGTGTTTCCTCACCCCTGATCAACACAACATTAGGAAATTAAATAAAACCGAGTGAAAAAAGAGCAACTAAAGAAACCTTTATGTGCAAAAGGCAATTCTACTTTGAAAATGAGTTACCTCCCTTAGATTTAAAAAAATGACCTTTGATATACCTTTCTTGTCAATATACAGCTTGTTGATATTTACAGTCAATCACCATTTAAAAGTGAAATCTTTCTATAAAATTAATGCGAATCATCAGCATTTATCTGTTTTGTTTGTCCAATGTTTTTTGTTTATGTATTTTGTTGTCCCTCAAAGTAAAAATAGTTTAATTCACTGCTCAGTTACAGCAAATTTGAAAAAAAAAAAAAAATAATGAAAACAGAACATAAGGAAAAAAGTATAAATACACAACTTTGATCAAATGTAATAAAAATGCTTCACGTAAACTTATACAAACAAAATCAAATGCTACGTTAAGATATATGGAGCCCGTTAACTGACATGCTCCATACTTATTTTATTTTGTTTTTTCGAAATATTATTTCTTTTAAACGAAACATTAATTCGTTTATTAGAAATATTATTTCGTTTTTTCGAAATATTAATTCGTTTTTTCGAAATAATAATTTGTTTCATCGAAATAATATTTTATTTTGTTTTTTCGAAATAATAATTCGTTTAAACGAAATATTATTTCGAAAAAAACAAAATAATATTTCGAAAAAACAAAATAATATCGCAAAAAACGAAATATTATTTCGAAAAAACGAATTATCATTTCGAAAAAACGAAATAAAATAAGTATGGAGCATGTCAGTTAACGGGCTCCGTAAAGATACTTGGTACCTTCTACATTGAATTGAAAGACATAAAAACAAAATTTCCACTACAAACATCTACAAGTATATAACCTATTGTCCATTATGATAAATACTCACCATCATGACGGCGCCTGCGGAGTTTGACATTGCAGCCTTCTCTGTCAGATTCTCCTGCAAGATAAATATTCAACGAATCAAAATAACAATTTTGAAATGCACACCTACGTTTCCACAATATACTGAAATGTATGTTTGTTTTTGTTTATTGTTTACATGAATGTAATAACCCAAGATAAGCAACAACAAAATAGGAACAATATTTTATAATAACGAATTCAACAAAAGCTGTGTACCAATATTTTACAAGCTAAAACTCGCAATACAAAGTATCACGCAATTCTACAATGGCTCATTAACAAAAGTGATAGTGATATTTTCGTATCTAGTATTACATTAAGGATTAACATGGCCTCAATCACATTGACTACCCAGGGGTATGTGTGAGATAGATAGTACCCTGGAGCTTTAATATTACAATTAACATTGTTGGGGTAAAAAGTATAGCAGTGCCACTGGCCTGTCATAATTGACATTTCCCTTCAAAATATAGGATAAAATTTGGTTTTGAAGGGTCACCTGGTAGAAAGATTTTTTGATCAATAATACTGATTATTACATACACTTGTAGCAGTTACCGATATTTCAAGCTATGTTTGCAGACAACTTTGATTTTAACTTCTAAAATTTGATGTCAACTTTTTCTTTTTTTCTTTAAATTCTGGTATGAGCATTTACAATTGTTTTTTTTTATTTATTTATTCAACCAAACTCAGTAGGTCAGGATATGGCTAATATTTGATTGGTCAGGATATGGCTAATATTTGATTGGTCAGGATATGGCTAATATTTGATTGGTCAGGATATGGCTAATATTTGATTACCCTGACACACATTGTTTCCACTGGTCTGTAATGGTGTACTATTTTAATCACTGGTGGTTAAACCATTCTTCTGATGGTCTCTTCATATAAGTATCAGAAGTAAAGCCTTGCTAACCATTTTTATAAGATTACATATAACACACAATGCAGGGAGAGGTTCCTGTAAGGTTACCTAATCACTGGTAGATTGCTTAAACCCATTCTAAAGGATGCTGTCTCTTCACTAAGTATCAGAAGGGAAGCCTTGTCTTCTTTTATAAGATTGGCATATAATTATAAATGCAGAGAGGTTGGTTAACCTTGTGGTCCACTTCTTGGTCCTGTGATATAAAATGTGTAAATCATCCCAACCATCATCACACATTAACATTGTTAACACACTATGATAGACATAAAAGTAAAGGGTAACATTGTTAACACACTTCTTTGTTGGTAACATTGTTAGCACACTATGATAGACATAAAAGTAACCTTGTGGTAACATTGTTAACACACTGTGATATAAAATGTGTAACATTGTTAACACACTCCCAACCATCATCACACATTAACATTGTTAACACACTATGATAGACATAAAAGTAAGCCAGCACTGATGTAACATTGTTAACACACTATGATAGACATAAATGTAAGCCAGCACTGATGTAACATTGTTAACACACTATGATAGACATAAAAGTAAGCCAGCACTGATGTAACATTGTTAACACACTATGATAGACATAAAAGTAAGCCAGCACTGATGTAACATTGTTAACACACTATGATAGACATAAAAGTAAGCCAGCACTGATGTAACATTGTTAACACACTATGATAGACATAAAAGTAAGCCAGCACTGATGTAACATTGTTAACACACTATGATAGACATATATGTAAGCCAGCACTGATGTAACATTGTTAGCACACTATGATAGACATAAAAGTAAGCCAGCACTGATGTAACATTGTTAACACACTATGATAGACATAAAAGTAAGCCAGCACTGATGTAACATTGTTAACACACTATGATAGACAGATATGTAAGCCAGCACTGATGTAACATTGTTAACACACTATGATAGACATAAAAGTAAGCCAGCACTGATGTAACATTGTTAACACACTATGATAGACATAAATGTAAGCCAGCACTGATATATCTTCCTATGTGTTTGAAATATTCATCTTTCTTTACCAATAATACTCCCATAAATGTCCTATTTAAAAAAAAATTCTATTGGTGTCAAATTAGTTTACCTATATCTACATCAACTTTATTTCCTAATCAAATCGAGTCAAATGTTATCATATTATAAGCAGATTGACATTCTGAGTGCATTCTTTTATACCCAGACAAAGGCAGACCATATCAGAGAAAAATGGAGATCTATCACCACAGCACTGGATCTAGATCATTAGATTTATATAAGAAATGAATTGAAATATATATATATGTCATGTTTGACAAGTATATTAATTACTTGTACATATGTAAGAGTTGATCATGAGTTGAGTCAATCATGAATATACTACTTGTACAATTGTATTGTATTATGTGAACTTGGAAAAATGAAAAAAATAAAAAAAAAAAAAAAAAAGGACAACTTTCTTTCCTATTCTGTTGAAATTAAAAGTACAGCTGTACAGTCAAAGTTGCTATTTTCAGGAGGTGTTGTTTTTCGCTATTTATAGGATGAAGAAAAATGTGGAAAAAGAGACACCTTGAAAATAAAATTAATACATCTACTACAGTGAAAAATATATCCTTTTATTTTTTACTAAAACAAAAATTGTTGGTACCATCAAAAATAACAACCTTATACTGTACTGTAATTCTGAAGTGTGAATAGTTTTATTGCAAGACATTTAAACCCAGTATTTGCATGTTGATGTAGATATATGGAAAGAGATACCAGCATAATATTACAATTTATGGCAGTGATCATCTTTACCTCTGTTTATCATTGTACGTTTGAAGGTGTGCACGAGAGCACACTTGAATTATCTCCCTTATATCAAGCAGTACAAATTAGACCAGGTCAATGGCAGAGTAATGTACAGAAAAGACTTCTTAGTTGAACAACTGGATCATTGGGATTTCTATAGTTTTATTTCTGTATCCTTAGGTGTGTTGGTTTACCTTCTGTGAGTCTTGTGGTGACGACGCGGGCCCTGTGGATCATCTGATTGGTTCCCTGAGGAATTATCACTATGGTGATGCGGAGCAGGTTTTTCTGTCACTGGTATGCAGGATGCCACTGGCTCACTTTCACTGCCACTGAGCTGACGCTGTCTCCTGTGAACTACACCTTCCTCGTTACCAGAGGGCACCTCACTTGTTGACTTCAGTTTAATTTTTGTTCCTCGTTCCCTCATAGTCTCCCCTTGGGTTTTTGATATGTTCTGTAACTTTTGTAAGAGTTTTGACACAATGCCTGTGTTATTTGTTCGATTACCTCCATCCATATCTAAATGCCTTGCAGCTGAGGATTCACCAACATCACTCTCTGAGCCGTTGGATGGTGACCTTCTTCGGTCAACATATGTTGGGGAGGCCGTTTTTGAGGGAGTGCGTCTACCACCATCAGACACATCCTCGTTACTTGCGATCCTGCGCACGCGTGGAGGAAGTGCTGCTTTATTAGTGACATCACCCCCCTCTAATGGGGACACTGGTTTGTTTGATAATCGCTGTTCTAATAAGTCTGCAACACTCTTTTTTCTGTCCACTTGTGACTTTGTTTCTGAGATGTCTGAGGGCGCAGGACTACTGGGACGACTGCCATGCCTTTTACTGGCATCTATCACAGGTATACCATGAGTTTCACTATTTGTCTCCTTCGACCATGCTTTTTTCACATCCCTTACATTTGTGGTGCTATCTATGTCCTTTCTCCACTCATATGCTGAATTCTGCATGTCCTTACTTCGAGTTCGCCTATGACCCTTTTGTGTAGATTCGTTTGGAATTGCACCAGCATCTTGCGTTGGCACATTGAGAATTTTTGCCTCTGGAGATGAATTCACACTAATGTTTGGAGCACTAGACAATGACCCAGGAGATTCAACAAGGCTTACCTCTGTGGAGGGCATCTCTGTAACTTTCTCTTTACTTCGCGTTCGACGGTGAGTTTTTACAAATTGTTCCTTCACACCATCAGCACCCTGTATGGCAGCTTTTGTGGCTGCGATGGCAGACAACAGAGAATTCTGACTATCAATGATAAATGTTTCTGACATTTTTGATGCACTGAGCGAGTTTTCCTTGAACCGACTACCTGCAGGTGGTGACTGGTGTGATTCCTTTGGTATCGGATGTGGCGGCTCTTGCACACCAATAGTTAATCCATCATTAGGTGAATCTCGACTACGATTGCGTCGATGTGTATGCAATTTCGGTTGAACAAAAATTCCATCACTGTTATTGTTTGACCTTGAACTTCCTGGTCGTTCTGACTTTGAACTAGGTCGTTCCTTTACATTTTCCTGATCACTTGCACTAGACTCCTTGCCACGAGCATGTGCCTGACGTTTCTCTTGTCTAGGAGATTTAGTCCTTCGCTGGCGACCACTACGACGAGTAAATACATGATTGCGTGCAACATCCGAACTTTCTGTCGAATCTTTCTCGTCACTTTCGTCACTGTCGCTACTTAGGGACGGATTACGCGGCAAGCTACTTCCTTGTGAAACACCCGCCATTAATATGTTGGATGTGTTTGACTCCCCTAGGGATGACACTGCCTTCAAATAAATTCTGAAAAAAAAAAAAAAAAAAGAGAATGATATAATGACTCTCTCACCCAAAATTTCCAAATGTTTTCAGATTTCACATACAGATGTAAGCACTTTGTGAGTGTTAAGATTTACAAAGAAATCAGTATATCAAATCTAATTTTAAGAACTCCTCAGGATCATAGAAGTTTTCTTTCAAGGCTTTAACACAAACTGTTTTGATGTAGGGGAAAATATCAACATGGAAGAAATATTTCAGATTTGTACAAAACTTGGTTCTCTTGATGATGCCTTACTTGTATGTGAGCTGCGTATCCAATCCATGAATCAGTGCTCTAAGGAGATTGCTGGCGAGCATGGATGTTGGTTTCTCATCTACGTACACACGATACCCTGCAATGCAACGGAATGAAATTTCACCTTTGCTAACGTAACACAAGTTTGATGCTAGAGTATCAGTTGTACGAATCATTAGTCTGAATATCTTCTATCAAACACATTTACATTTTCCCCGGGAAATAAATCAGATTCAGTACAAATCCTATGTACAAAATCTTTGCTGTTTTATAATGCTATTTATGAATTCCACTTCATGATTTTGAGGACAAATTCAAAAAAATTTTTTTTACATAAAAGAAAATAAAAAAAAAAAAAAAAATGGAAAAGTATTTCAAATATCTCTTTTACAGTATAATCAATCTTGTTTTACTATATTTGTCATACAATGTATTGCTTTAATAATAAGGTATCTGATTTAACTAATCAAATGAGGTTTTACATCCAACAGGAACCAATCAAATTCCATGTTGCATCTAAAGATCTTACCCAGTAATGGCTGGTTGACTTCCTTGTTAAATACGTCCAGTATTTTAGACGGCTGCCAGGAGATGACAATTGAGGTCTCACCCTTGTGTTCCAGTCGAAGGTTACGAGGAGGTGTTGGAAGGCCTGGCTGAGGGACAGAGGAGAAATAGGCTTCCTCTTCCTCAGATGGGTACGGTGATAGGGAGTTAGGTATTGACCCTGTAAAAATGGGATAATATTGATATCTAGATCCAACAGAACGCTGCTTAGTCTGAACATTGATATATAACAGACTTTAGTCTAGCTTTCAGGTTATATTTTTTCGTTATATTTTCATAAAAAAAAAACTTGTAACTTTATACTTTTTCAACTTTTCCTCCACATTTTATACTTTCTGTAAACAAGAACATTCAATTTGTGCCTCAAACCCTTTTTTTTTAGAAGAAACACACTTTCAATGATAATTACCCCATCTTGGGCCCCCTATACTGGACTCGTCATCACAGCTGGAAATGTCATCATCTTCAAACCCTGTCACTAAGAGGGATGCACTCTCTTCTGGAAATCAACACCAACTTCAAATGAGTTTTATTCTTTGACTGTATGTAAAACCGATGCCACTATAGCTTAAAGCTGGGTAAAAATTATGAACAAAAGCTATTATAAGAAATGACAGCATCTATGGAGTTATCTGACTGAATGGCTAGATATTGTAAAATGGAAAATTCCAATTCCAGTTTTATTTTAGATAATGGAGGGTACAAAGAAGAATTTATTTTGTGCAAAGTTCTTTGACGAACGATCAGCTTGTAAAAGTTCAGTCTAGTAAAATATATGATTTATTGAAGCAACCATGATGTCAAACCTCACAACAAATTTAAATAAACTTTTTTCCACTCAAATAATTTGTAAAAACAAATTTGTTATCCATAGCAAAACAAAAATGACCTATTTGAAAATCAGAGAAAATGTTTGAAAGAACACAAAATGAAGTACTAACCTGTTGTATCGTTACCACCAGTAAACAAACCACTCTGGAACACAACACTCGACACTGACTGTAGGGCTGTCTGGAGCTGGGACACCTAAAAGCAATGATGAATTAAAAACACTGAAGATAAATATATGCCTCCCGCAGACTATCCATGATAGCTTTGTAATACATGTCGTAAACTTTGACAGTTTCTAGCACATTAACAGCGGATTAACCATCTATCAAAAAATATATATTATTTGTCTCGTTTTATTTCTAAAGTCCTATAATAATCTCGGGAGCAAATTTGTTACTTTTTATCATGAAAATTTTTCACCACAGTTTTACTTTTGCCTTTTCATCCAAAGTCAAGTAGTGGGGCTTCGAACAAAATCATAGAATCAGTAATTATACTGAAAGCCAACATGACAGGGCTAATAGCCAGGAGCAAGCTTGTTGATAAAACAGCTAAAAATATCAAAATTTATAAGGGACTCATGCCCGTGGCTGATATGAAGGTTGATACAAGTTTTCTCTAGCTCTGTAGACAGACCTGCCTGATTCTGAAGGTTGGTACATGTTTTATCTAGCTCTGAAGACAGACCTGCCTGATTCTGAAGGTTGGTACAAGTTTTCTCTAGCTCTGTAGACAGACCTGCCTGATTCTGAAGGTTGGTACAAGTTTTCTCTAGCTCTGTACACAGACCTAACTGATTCTGAAGGTTGGTACAAGTTTTCTCTAGCTCTGTAGACAGACCTGCCTTATTCTGAAGGTTGGTACAAGTTTTCTCTCGCTCTGTACACAGACCTAACTGATTCTGAAGGTTGGTACAAGTTTTCTCTAGCTCTGTAGACAGACCTAACTGATTCTGAAGGTTGGTACAAGTTTTCTCTCGCTCTGTACACAGACCTAACTGATTCTGAAGGTTGGTACAAGTTTTCTCTCGCTCTGTACACAGACCTAACTGATTCTGAAGGTAGGTACAATTTTTCTCTAGCTCTGTAGACAGACCTTACTGATTCTGAAGGTTGGTAAAAGTTTTCTACAGCTCAGTAGACAGACCTTACTGATTCTGAAGGTTGGTACAAGTTTTCTACAGCTCAGTAGACTTACCTGACTCTGAAGGTCGGCACAGGTCTTCTCTAGCTGCCGATGTTTCTCGAGGTCCACCTCAGGGACACTGCCATGTCCAGAGTTTAATGAGTCCATTCTCTGGAGGGTATTCTGGATCTCCTGGCTGTAATTATATGAACTGTCCTCTGTTCCGCGCGTTGAGCCCAGTGTTCCCTTGAATGACTGTGAAGTAAGAACCTCTGTTTTCCAATGCTGTAATGACTGGACCTATAGTAAAGAGAGGTTACATGAGCACCACGGTTTAATTTGTGACACATTGATCCAGACTTGTTTTACAAAGATAGTTAATCCATGCTACTATGTTAGTGTGTATCTATATTCTGCTTCTTACTGACCATCAATGTTTATCAGAATACAGGTATTTGTTTATGATATTTCTTCGTTCAGCTGAAGACTGATTTTCTCTGGGAAAAGATAAAAATATATTTACTTAAAGGCATAAATAAGCCATGCCCTGAAACAAGATGAAGAATAACAGTATCTATTTAATTCTGTTTTCAGGAAAATGGAAAATAGTAGCATCAGAAGACATAATTAATCAACCATGTACTTCTCCACTTCCTGGCAATACAAACCAAGTATATATGAAATTTACTTATTGTTCAAATAATTTCTAAATAAGCATACATGTATTGCCAATAAAATTGCTTTAGACAGACAGTACCTCCTTCCAGAGAAATCTGATGGCCTCCATTTGTAGACATCGTAAGTGTTTCTCTTCATCATACAATTTCTTCTGTCTGAAACACAGCAAAAAACATTGAATTTTCTACAATGTCTAATAGAGAAATCAATACATTGGGTTTCGTCGATGTCATAGATACATTGGTTTTCGTGGATGTCATCAATACATTGGTTTTCGTGGATGTCATCAATACATTGGTTTTCGTGGATGTCATCAATACATTGGTTTTTGTGGATGTCAAAGATTCACTACTAAGCAAGTTACTAAACTGAAACTTCATTCTTTCATCAGAAATCCTGTGAAAGATTCAGTCCAGTCATTCTTTCCCAATTAGGTTATATCATTTAAAATCTTTAAATATATCTAAAATTTATCACAAATACTACTATTACACTTAATATCGTTTTTATTTACATCAATCACACAAAGAGAGGTTAAAATAATAGTTAGGTGGTGGACTTAATACAGGCCAATGAAGTTTGTATATATAACAGTATTAAATATATGTTAGGTTATGATCTACACAGGCTGAATTTCTGACAAATATGATACGTAATAGTTTTAGCTAAATAATATGCATTGTTAACATTAAAAACAAAATATATCCAAAGTTTATCTTATAAAATGTTCATTTCCATTGTTTCCTGTTTTACCATTATTTATTTATCTATTTATTTATTTGTTTATTTATTTATTTGTTTAAAAGAACAATGTAACAATCTATATAGAGCAAGGTTAGATATGTTTATACAGCCACTGTACCTAAATGAGTGCAGCTTGCTTAATGACCCAGAAAGACATCAATCACGGTAAGACATCATCTAGACATACTGTCTCCGAGACTAATAATTTATGTATGACCCCATAATGCACAACGTTACAATCGATGTATATATCACCTTTAGGTAACGTGATACTAATTTAAAAAAAACAACATGATAGCAATCCAACAAAATGATTACTATTCTGAAAATAGTTCTATTTTCGTCAGTTTGTAACACTCAATAATTTTTTTTCAATTACACTGTATTTATCTCTTGTTCATCAATACTTCAACTTTATAGTTTTGGACGCATTGACTCATCAATTCTTGGGTATACTAAAAATAGATACCAAAGACATTTTGGATCCACATCAGTCTCCTCTATATTAAAAGACATAATATTTAATCTTCAGAAATATTGTTGATCCTAAATTGATTGTTGATGTTAAAGTAAATTTGATATCAAAATAATAAAGTCAGATATTGATTATGACAAAATGATTGTGGTTCAATTGTCTGTTGACACAGAAATCATTACAGCAGTGAAACTAGTTAGTAAATATATGACTGGAGAGCAAAACCTTAAAATAGACTGATAATCAGGCTTCCAGTATTTCAACTATCAGACTTTTATTGGAAGTGACTTCACCAAGAAGACAAGTAAAACATGATGAAACAGACACCTCTATCTCAAATACATGAAATCCAACAAGGCCGTAAAATTGTTTAAACAGTGTTAATGGGACACATATAGTTTTATTGTATATGTCTACTAGTGTATAATAGAACCAACAATATTGCACTGTACACCAGTACTTAATGACAATACAAACAGACACTGAAATGACAGGTGACAAAAACTTTCAAAAAATGTCCTTAATTATTACATCTTCTAATTAAGCCATTAATGAAACACGACATACCACGTATGTCTAGTAACGAAATCCATCTATATTCACCAGCATTTCTTCTTTGGTATTTTACACTGAGATTCCAATGATTAAATCAATGCATAGGAAACTACCTTGTCATTATGTAATTACCATAAAAACAAATAAAATGAAAATTACAATGACAGCTTTTTACCAAATTCATCACAATTATCAATTTTCTGGTCTGTCGAGTTCATCCAACAGGCCAACATTAGTGGAGTTATCTCCCTTGACTATATTATGATTTTTTTGATGCTGTTGTTTGTTTTCAGAATATTTATATAGTATCTAATGTGAATACAGGTATTTATAAATATCTTTTCTTGTCCAAGTGAGTTTAATTTTCATAAGTTATTGTACAAATTAAAGTTTCCAAACTTGCTGTTGTTCGTTGGGGTCCAATATCGCAGATGATTCTGCTCGCATACATCAACTGTGATGTCTTATTCTAAAAGATCTAATTGATAATGCTTTCTGAATATAAGATGCTCTACATAGTGTATTTACGATTTGTTGTTGTATGAAACTATTCTATTTTTAAAATCAAGTGAGTCAATGAAATTCACTGCCTGATGAGCGCATATCTTACAATATACATATGGGACACTTATTGATTTTAAAGCTGTAAAATATTGCTATCTAAAAAATTGAAATATATCTTTTTCTCTCAGTTTGCTTTCATATACATCAACAACATCACAGAAATCTGTTCTATTTGACCATTGAGGGACGAAATCCTCATTGTTATTACCTAGGTAATCAAATTTTACTTTGTAATTCTATAATTCATAGCAAGTGTTACTTCAGTTTCTTCTCTATATTTCATAGAACGAACAATTCACGTTTAATGTTAGAATATTTTGATTACAATCAATGTTTAAAATCATACGAAAAGATGCCGTTATATTCCAAATAGAACTTGCTATGTATAAGTATTGAATAATTTACAATCAATTATCAAACGTTTCAAAACAAGAAGGAACTGACACTTTCTCTTTGTTTTTTTTCTTCACAATTAATCCAATTTGACCTGAATTGAAGTCCCGTTAACTTTGACACAAGTTCCATAGACAAACATTTCAGGCGATGATCTGGCAGCAGTCGTTTTGACTGTGCATAGGGTCAAGTGGTATGCTTTCCACCTCTGACTCAACAATTTTCTTCACATGGTTACAAAAAATATCTAGACTATTGCAGGAATATCATGAAAAGTCCATTCTGTTCCCAAAACGTATTTCCAGACCAGCAGAATGTTAATATTTAGCCTTGTGAGTATGATTAATGTTAAAGAAATATGTACCCCAACATTTCCCTTTTTCTACTAGAACAATGTTACACCATACTGACCTCAACAAAGGTCCATTATTGATAATTCTATCAAGGCAAGAAGCGGTAAGAATAACTATACCCATGATGCCATTATACTAATAAATTCCAGTATGATTAAACTGTAAAAGCCACATATACAGGATATATACACATATCGCTAATCAGATCTATTTTTTTTCTGTGGATCAAGTCTACCTATCATACTAAATAAATGATACACTGGCTGGGAGCCAAACCACTGATATAGACTACGTGGTACACTTCTGTCCCGTTTCTTTCGATCTGTTGTATCAATATAAGTCTCTGTTTCTCACTGACATTTATTGATGTGGGACTAATCCATATCTAGCATTGATCCATTTATATTTCTGATTTCCCTCACAGTAGTACTCAATAACACACCTATAGGACCATGTGTCAAGCACCTGTTAATTTATGTGTGTATTTGTATGCATATATGCACAATTAACCCTTTTTTCCCCTCAATTCCTATCCTCAAAATATATATCTACATATAAATATTGCAAACCTTGCCAAAATATACACCCCTTACATGTTCAGATAATAGTCTTTGTATATATTTACCAATCCTATATGGTGTTTGGACAATACAATGCTATCTATGTTTTGCAAAGTTCAACTGCTAAGTAATTTATTGGCCAATATGTACCTAAAACACACCAGAGGGGAAATCAATGACTGTTCATATATCCTTATGCACTCTAAAAACCACATTTTTAAAGTCATTTCTGGTAAGTCATTTTCCAACAGTTGAACCTAAATTTCTGAAAAAGATTGTAAATTACCCAGAGGCCTTTTCATTCCTTAACAAGGGCAATCAAGACTGAACAAAAGTTTCAAGTGAAAGAGATGTGGTGTTGTTGTTCTCCACCTAACATTATAGTAAACGTTAGCAGGGATCATTTACCTACTATAGCACAGGCCAGGCTATATTTAAACATAGGTAATTGACCACTTCCATAAACACTACATTCAATTTTCATCACAATTCATTTGCACTACATGGCATATATTGTTTGTATCATGCCATTTTCCTATCACTGTACAACCTACAATATCATTTATCCAATATCAGGTACATATATCTTACTGAGTACTTAATCAGTTTCCATTAAACTCTCTGAGTGACTCGAGGGAAATAGCATTTTCACCAGACATGCCAAATTGCAGAGTTCCATCATCATTTCCCCCAATACCTGTCATGTATGTATTTAATGTCATTGCCTCCTTTTTGAGTGTAATTTCTTTTCCTCATATGTGTCAAGTTCCAAGCACAATGTATTTCCCGTTCTGTTTCTTTATACTTGTCAGCACCTGAGAGTTTTTCTATATCTGTCAAAATCAGAGTGTTTCCCTTCACCTGTCAACATAGTGTTTCCCTCTACCTGTCAACATAATGTTTCCCTCATCCTAACAACATAGTGTTTCCCTTAACCTGTCAATATACGAGTGTTTCCCTTCACCTGTCAATATAGTGTTTCCCTACACCTGTCAATACATGAGTGTTTCTCTACACCTGTCAATATATGAGTGTTTCTCTACACCTGTCAATATAGTGTTTCCCTACACCTGTCAATATATGAGTGTTTCCCTACACCTGTCAATATATGCATGTTTCCCTACACCTGTCAATATATGAGTGTTTCTCTACACCTGTCAATAAATGAGTGTTTCTCTACACCTGTCAATATATGAGTGTTTCCCTACACCTGTCAATATATGAGTGTTTCCCTACACCTGTCAATATAGTGTTTCCCTACACCAGTTAATATAGTGTTTCCCTACACCTGTCAATATATGAGTGTTTCCCTACACCTTTCAATATATGAGTGTTTCCCTACACCTGTCAATATATGAGTGTTTCCCTACACCTGTCAATATATGCATGTTTCCCTACACCTGTCAATATATGAGTGTTTCCCTACACCTGTCAATATAGTGTTTTCCTACACCTGTCAATATATGAGTGTTTCTCTACACCTGTCAATAACTGAATGTATGCTGTCTTTGCCGTAGCTTGCTGAATCTTAATTGCAGTAACTTTTCCTCACTCTTGTCAGTACTCCAGTGTAGCATCTTTCCATCACATCTATCGTTATTTGAATATGATGTTATTCCCAAAACTTGTTAACATCTGAAAGTTTTCTCCACAACTGTCAATTTCTGAGTATAGTATCTTTCCCACACCTATCAATTTCTGAATGTAATGTATTTCTCCCACCTGTCAACTTCTGACTATCATCTCTTTCCTTACCTGTCCAGCTCTGAACGCAACAGTATGATGTGGTCCTCAGCTCTGCGGGCCCGAATTTCCTTGCGAATGGACACCACCTCGGAGTTCTTACACCGTGTACGATATCCTCTCCACAAAGACTGGATCATTATTGCAGCTTTGTGATCTAAATATATAAAACAACGACAATAATTGAAGATGCGTCCTCCTTCCCAGTAATGTGAAGACACCAAGAAAATACAAAACTTGCTGGCACATAGCTTCACTAGGAACCACAAATCCTGTATCTCGTACCAACAGAGTACAAACTTCCTTGGAATTGTATAGTACAAAATGACACTGAAGAAAAAATTCCATGATTCATAATTTTGTAATTTTGAAAATTGAAAAAATTCTTATTCATCAGTTGTGATATTTCTTCTTGGTGCAATTTAAGTGTTAAAAAAAAAAAAAAAAATACAGATGTTAACACTACATTGTACTTGATACATCATCACTACTTAAACTGATCTATATTCCATTGAAGCATAGTTTTTTTCTTAAATTTATAAATTCGACAAAACCACATATAGCTTAATATTTATCTACTGATACCTCGGATACAAACACACCCAATAACATTTTTGTGATACACACCAAAAATTATGCAACTCCCCTTTGTAAAACTATTTCACATTACCAAAACAAAAGTCTGTACCTTGCGAAATGCATTAATATATAAAATCTGGTTCCAGACTACAGAAAGCCTGCCTTATGTAACCTCTGGAAAATAGGCAGCCCCAAATCAGCCATACGGAACGGTTGATTTGTCACTGAAGGGAGCTTGACACGTAACGTTACGATTACTAGCTGATTAGTGTGATAGAAAAAAGATCAGGAGAATATTATACACATGACTATTGAGTGGGCAGGACATCACCAAAGATCATGGGCATAATACATGTGTTAAGTAATTGAAAATCTCGAGTAAGCTTTCTAAATCCAAAACACTTGTATAAGTTTTGTTTATAATTTAATCCCCAAGGTATTCCAAGCCTTTAAAACACTTCTACATAAACATAAACCTGTTGTGTATATTTAAACGACTTTCTTAAAAAAGATATTCAAATTGAAATGAACTACTGCTATTAATTATAATAGGCTTATAAAGTTGCGTACATACATTTAAATAATAAATCTCCTTTTCATTAAAATCAAGTTCAAAATCCAGATTACCTACATTTGCTTATATATGCTTGCACCCTTCTTGGCAATGGGTTTATTTACAAAGGGTGTTAGATTGTATCATGCACATTCTGATGCTCAGATATGTAAATGAGGTTGCTTTACTGCATTAAATATAAAATTAATTATCCTTGACCTGATTAATTTGAAATCAAATAACTTGAATACTTTCGACATCCGACAATTCAGTTACTGGTACATTGCAATGCAGACCGAACTTTTGAAAAATTTTAATATATACAAGAAATGAATATCTTTCGTGTCTGTCATTTTTAATACAAATCAGTACACAGAAATTAAAAAAAAAAAACAACAAACAAACAAACATTCAGATTAAAAGCGGGCATTATCAGAGGTCTTCCTTCAAGATTTTACAACTAATTTTCTGTAAAGAATGAATTTTTCTTTGAAATGAGCGTTAGAGTTATTTAGATTTATCTTGTATCAGAAGGGAAACAAGTTTGGTTAACACTGTAATGTAAACACTGACCTTCAGGGCTATAATCTCCCAATACAGCATCACTAACGGGGCGGGAATACACGCCCGAATCTCTCACACTTGTCTTTACATCACGATTACTCTCACTTTTTTCCATCACAACCACTTTATCAGGTAAATGTGCCTTTGTCCGTTTGTCTCCCAGATTTTCTCCACTAACCTTCCTCACTGTGGCAGCGTATTTACCTGGGAGGTAGTCTGAATGAGTCCGTATCACATTAACTCCCTTTGATATTGGGATATTACTTTTAGCAGCATTTTGTGTAATGTGTGAGGTAGCACCAGACTTTGTGGATCCAGATGACCCTGACCCCTTTCGAGACCTTTTCTCTGCGACTTCCTTGATTTGACTTATACTCTCGGCAGGGATAGTATCTTTTGGCGGGTTAATAATTTGTTCCATCTGGGAGACTTCCTGACTTGTGTCATAATCATGTGCTTGGGCAGTTGGCGGGGTTTTCTTCTTAGCTCCGATGGCTGGTTCATTTCCTGATTGCTGAGGAGGTGAATAATCAAATTTTGGTTTTAGGAGTCCTTTAAGCACTTCGGAATTCATTGGTTTGATAGGCCTGTTGTTGTATGCTTCGTACCGAGACTCCATCATCGTCGCTGGCCGGTTATCTCTGTGGGCCAGATAATTGGTGGCCGGTGAATGGCCGGAAATAACAGGCGCTGTCATTGGACGATTGGTTGAAGTACTAGCCTCCGAAACAGGAAGATAAATTGATTCTGACTCCAACAAACTTGTCTGACTTCTTGTATCATAATCTGTAAAGAGGGAAACCGACCAAGTTAGATCATACCACTATACCGATTTTCATATAATCAATATCTCAGAAGGTATCAATAGTGATTCGTATTGATTTTTTCACTTCGTAATTAATTTGTACTTTACATAAAGATAAAAAAAACCAAACTACCAATTAAATGCCTTCTGAATTTGATTACATCCAACATATGTCGTCTATGATTGCAATGGAATATATCATTTCATCATACTTATAAATAGACTTACCATCAGGGGTCACCTCTTGAATGTTGAGGTCACTACACTGCGTAGCTACATTACTATCTCGACCAACATCACTGTAACCTGTTTTAAATTAATAAACAAATTTTCAAATTTCATAACAGTGAGTCCATACAAAACTGATTTTAGCAATGACGTCAAGCGAGTCATACTGGTTTTGAGATTAAAAAAACTGACCACCTACAGATTAAAACTGGAATGTGTTGAGGACTAAAGGTTTATACACCGAGTTCCTACAATTAGCACCTACCATGGCAGAAAGCCAAGATGGCTGACTACTTAATCGTTATTGAACTTTACAGGTTTTTAACTTTTAACCAGACTAATATCTTAAGGCCTTGTCAGGCAATTCTGATCACTTAAAGAGTACAAATGAATTTCATATTTCAAATTGGAATAAAAATATGCTTTAAGTGTCTGTGAAGATTGTGCTAAAGAAAGTTTTATTTGAATTACCTAAAAAAAAAGGCTCATCTACTTGATAACTAAAGTACCACAGAACAAAAGTGGGGAAAAGTATTTTGATTCTTCATTTCTCAATGTGGATTGAATTTTCTAAATTGGGAATACACAGCATAAAAATTTAAGTACTTCATGTCTATGTCATGTACTGCTAAAATGATCAGCAGTGCAATTTACAGGAAATCAGTAATTGTCTCCTACTTCCGTTTCGATCACAAATACACAACACTATAATTTAGTTTACACTTGGGACAATGTGAAACAATTGAGTTATCACACTTGTGTCCATTTTTTTATTTTCTTAAGACAGATTAAAAAAAAAAAAAATATTAAAAAAAAAAAAAATCAATATATATATGTTAGTAAAAATACATTTATTTCAAGCTTCTTTTTTTCATGTTTAAAATGACCTTGTAATTGAAATTCCACGAAACTAAGGTCATTGAAATCTTAAAGAAACTACCATCAATGTGTATAGAAACAATTTAAATTCTATTAATAGTAACAGTGACCTTGAACTTTGATTTACAAACCCCAAAAACTGTGCTAAGTAATAATATTAGATAAATGTAACACAACACTTCCTGTTTAGGCAATGACCAGGAATATGCATTGTTACTGTCACAAACAGTCCTGAATTTAATGCGAGATTTAATGCATGCCCAGAAAAATTATGCAGGACCACACAATCACGATATACAATGTGTATTGTCTGCAGAATTCATATGAAGCCCAGCTGGTGGTTAATAATACCGTCAATAATTTCAACAGAATCAATAGCATGACCCCCAAAGGTCACGGTTGTTTCACCTCACTTTAAATGTGGCACCAGTTTGTGGCAATAGATCAGTCTTTTATAAAGCACAAAACAAAACTCAATATGCTAAGTTTTTTTTCAGTAGTTTATGTACTCAACTTAGACTGAAGAAACGCTAAATATATTGAAACTTATATCCATATATCATCATTGTATCATAAATGTAAGTTTCCTTACCTGCTCTGTGTAGAATACCCTGATTGATATAGTATCAGTACAACTGTACACTACTGACATGTGATTTTATCTCCACTTATAACAACATTTTAGACAACGATGTTGACCAATAAAAGCAGCAAAATCAACACTTTTTACTTATATAAGTACATTTTTCCCCAAACTTTTCTAATTGTTCTTAACACTTTGAGAATCTGCGACCTATAAACAAAGTAGGTCAAGTAATGGAATAAGATTTTTTTTTTTTTGATGGGTTAAGTCTCTGTGATAACACTTTCGGTGTTATAGTTCCTGTGTTATATCACCATCGTGGATTAACACCCGGTGTTACATCCCTTAGATTAGGTTAAAGGTTAAAGTTCACAGGATATAGCTCCATGGATTAACACGACATGTTAAAACTCACCAGCAGTGGTCCAGGCTCGTACTGGCTGTCTGTTGTATGAGTTGTGGCTGACGTCCGAGAATGCTCGCGCAGGTCTGTTGTATGTTGTACTAGTGTCTGAAAGAAATTGAATATATTTTAGGTTCATACTCTGTTGTTCTGAAGTATATATGTTTGATAATATTTATAGAGTATTAAGTTTTTTTTAAAAATACAGAGAGCTGCTTCAAACACTAGGGGATTTAGTTACAGTATTTATCTACTCTAAAAAAAATAGCTGAGAACTTCTGTTGATAGATATGCAGAAAGTCTTAAAGTTTTCAAAGATTTTATTTATTCCTCAAGTAACACAAATACAGATATCAACTTCACAGACTCAGTTTTAAAGAGTTAATCAGTGACCGAAGAAATGTTGATACCCAAAGTTTTGAAGAGTCAATTTCTTGAAGAACTGACACATTGAGCTTCATCAGTGACTCAGTGCCAAAGAGCTAATCAATTACTCAATAAAATCAATGAGGCAATATCTTACTTGACTAAGTTTGCTCCAAAAAGCTAATTCAGTGACTCAGAGTCACAGGGGTTACTTATTTGCTTCAAAAATTCTGATACAAAAAAATAATTCAGTGACTCAGTCACAGAGTGAATTACTGAGTGACTCAATAACATAGTACTGTTTACCTGGTTGTGTGAGTGTGTCTGTAAACCCAGTGCCTGACAGGTCATTGAGTGTACTCTGAGTAGATGAGTAGGACAGATCGTGTGAGTAGCTACTCTGATGTGATTGAGTCAGCTCCCGTTGATGTAGTTTTTGTTTACACAGTACTTTACTTAGCTTGGCATCTTCTTGGGACTCCAGCTGTAACAACAGAAAAACCAAATATTTGATATGTAACAAATGTTGGAAAAAACATTACAACTAGATTTCAACTACTGGATTTATCCTGTAAAACAAACCAAGGGGCTAAATAATAAATAATGATAAATGATAAATAAACAAATCCCGACTCAAAGTCAGTGACTGGCCATCTTGTGGGACATTTGTTACTTTGTAACATACTAGTACCAATATTCTGCTCGCCTTCTCTCTAGCTCAATCAGCTGAGCATAAGGCTAGTAAGCCAGAGATCCAAGGTCTGAATCCTGGTGGAAGCATTTAAACAAATAATGACCTTTGTTACACAATATAACAACATTTATTTCTTTAATCTACTAAACACATGCTGTATATTTTGAGTTTTAAATTATAACCAATATGTGCTTATGATGAATTAAAATGATATCTTAAGTCACTCTCTGAAAAAAGATTATTTTTTTTAATTTTTCTTGTGTTTTTTAATGGAATCTTTCAGTTTCAGAACTTTATACTTAGAAATTGATAAAGTAAAAGTTCAATAAATTAAACTGACCTGAACATTTACCAATAAGGTTAAAGGATATATTTTTACTGATTTTAACCATTTTGTTGAAATCTAAATATAATTTTGATGATATCATTGGTGTTTATCAATAACAAAAATCACGACCTTTGAAAAGATTTTTAAAATTTTATTTTGAACAATAGACCACTGCCTTGTCTCTAGTAAACCAACACTGTAATAGACCAGACTCTATACGTGGGTTGAATATCTATCAACAAAACAATGGCAAAACTAAATCAAAAGACAAAAAAAAAATAAATTTATGAATGGATGATATCCTGATGAGTAAACGGCATTGTGAACAGTGCATTAATTCATTCAAGGTTGGGAGGACATTGTATGAAGGCACTAATTTTTTTTCTCTGGTCGTAGGAGTTAGGTAATAAAGAAATTACAATGACCAGTCGGCTGTCTTCCTTATACACAGAATAATGATCAAGGTGTATATATATATATATATAAATTGAGAACCAGCCAAGTTCTTATACTTATAATGTCTTTGCCCTTGAAAATCTTCAACCAAATGTAGGGCTTATTCTGGCTTTCATAATGAACTGTTTGAACAAGATTTTCAATGATAATAAAAATTTGATACCAAATGGTTTGTCGGACAAGGTAGAATACCATCAGTCAAGAAAACATCTGTTATTCACTAATGGTACAACTCCCGTGTATCTGAGTATCAATGATTAATAATTTTATGTATATCAATGTATTACAATTTTATGCAGTTTTACTAAAGTTTGATAATTCTATGCAAACATTAATAATGACTTTGACCTGAAACATGAAATTGTTGGAGATAATGTCATATAGCTGACCTTTGTAAGGAGTTTGATCAAAATCCTATCAGAAATGGAGGCACTAAAAGTGATGATAATAATTTAGGACAGGAGGAGACACAAAGCCATGGAACAGCTTCAAAGTAACATCATAAAGTCAATGTTTTCTCAAAAAATGGTAGTCAAAGAAATCTGCTTAATGTAGTGATTTCTTAAAGCATTGGTTCATAGGGACAAACTCTTATAGAAAGCATTGCTGAATAGGGCTTGTCTCTTGGGGATTGCTTCATAGAGCCTGTCTCTCAAGGAGAGCACTGCTTCATAGAGCTTGTCTCTCAAGGAGTGCACTGCTTCATAGGGCTTGTCTCTCAAGGAGTGCACTGCTTCATAGGGCTTGTCTCTCAGGGAGAACATTGCTTAAAAGGGCTTGTCCTGTGGCTTAATTAAAGGCTGACTCACAGGGACAGCATTGCTTAATTAAGGGCTGACTCACAGGGACAACATTGCTTAATTAAGGGCTGAATCACAGGGACAGCATTGCTTAATTAAGGGCTAACTCACAAGGACAACATTGCTTAATTAATGGTTGACTCACAGGGACAACATTGCTTAATTAAGGGCTGACTCACAGGGACAGCATTGCTTAATTAAGGGCTGACTCACAGGGACAGCATTGCTTAATTAAGGGCTGACTCACAGGGACAGCATTGCTTAATTAAGGGCTTGATCAGGTTCAGCATTGCTTAATTAAGGGCTGTTGCTTAACATTGCTTGATCAGGTTCATCTCTAAGGATGTTGCTTAACATTGACTTGTCCTGAGGGAGAGCATAGCTTGATGGGGTTTGTCTCTTAGGATGTTGCTTAAGATTCCTTGATCAGGTTTGTCTCTTAGGATGTTGCTTAACATTGCTTTAGAGGGGCATTCTCTTAGAAAACCTTTGACAGTTATGTTTAACAGGAGCATTCTCATAAAAAAGAGGGTTGATTAATAGAAAGTACATTGTCTGCTATGATAATCATAAATGTAGGAATTTTCTCTAACAGAACTTGAAGACACGAGTAAAGCAATGGTTATATCTCCCTTAGTAATGAACACCCAATTTCAATGTCGCTGACTGCAAGATCTATCATACCATCGATGGACTCCTGTTCTTTTTTTTCCTGCCCTGAAATTTTTTTCTTTCACTGACATGCCATCAAGAATATCACATCAAATTTCTATGGCAATTTCACTGCATAAATAATGTACATATAATAAAGAAATGTTAAACTCTGGATAACAAAATAAAAGTGTGTGTGGAAAATCATTATGATAGCTAAACAAGTAGGCGAGGTAAGGTGAGGTAATCCATGCATTATTCAAGTTCAAACTTATATACTGTACAAACTTATCTTTACACTGACAGTTCAATTATCAGCAAAGGCAGACAGCTAACCAATCAAAGCTGTACAACTTTTATATATATATCTGTGGCAGTGGAACCTTAAAAGTCTAAACAATGACAACATGAAAAAGGAAACCTTTGTAAAACAGTGATAAGATGTCATACAATGACCCACTACAGCAGAGAAGAATCGGTGTAAGACACCCAGTTAACGAGAGAAGTTTAACACATTCAGGTACAGATCTTTAAAGAATACAATAAACTGATACAAGAAACTAGATGTTAGTGGTGATTACTCCTAAACACAGAATACGTGTCATTTCTTTTATATATAATTACCTTTTGAGTTTAGAGAATTGTCAATTGATTTGCACTCAAGATATTGGTTATGATTCATTTGTTTTTCAGAAGGACTATTTACTTCTTCAAGGCTGAAAGATTAATTTTCACATTTAGAAATTTGAGCAATATTATTTGTATAGGTATTGTATCAATGATTCAAACAGTAGTACAACGCACCTGTACAGACAACATCTGTGATAAAAACTAAAAACATCCAGTTAACACATCCAGATAGATCAGGTCTAATCACAGGTAATACACAGGTACAACTCCATACACCAGTCATATGTTTCTCAATACATTGGTTATCCTCCTTGAAGAAGTGATAATAAAGTATGTGTTAAAACCTTTAGTGTGTTATCGGTTATAGCTGCCTGAGATCTGTGATGTAACTGCTGATTCTAACAGACAAAACACCTCAATTTGATCCATACTCAATATATCGTGAATAGACTTGATATGACAGATTGCATTAGTGTTACCAACATTGTGCCAACTAAGCAATATTTTGTGCCAGCTATCACAGGTATACATTTACAGGTATCATTACACAGGTGCCATTACTGTACTAATGATATAGCATGTCAGTCAGCAATAACAGCTTGTCTGCAGCCACAGAGGCAGCTAGTGTAGGTGTGAAGGTACCAACCCTAGCTCAATCCATAACACTGAGTCTAATCAATAACACTGAGGCCAATCTATAACACTCAGTCTGATCCATAGCACTGAGTCTGATCCATAGCACTGAGTCTGATCCATAGCACTAAGTCAATACATAACACTGAGTCTGATCCGTACACTGAGTCAATACATAGTGCTGAGTCTGATCCATACACTGAGTCAATACATAGCACTGAGTCAATATATAGCACTGAGACTGATCCATATCACTTAGACTGATCGATAGCACTGAGACTGATCGGTAGCACTGAGTCTGATCCATAGCACTGAGTCTGATCCATAGCGCTGAGTCTGATCCATAGCACTGAGTCTGATCCATATCACTGAGTCAATATATAGCACTGAGTCTGATCCATAGCACTGAGTCTGATCCATAGCACTGAGTCTGATCCATATCACTGAGTCAATATATAGCACTGAGTCAATACATAGCACTGAGTCAATACATAGCACTGAGTCTGATCCATAGCACTAAGTCTGATCCATAGCACTGAGTCAATATATAGCACTGAGTCAATACATAGCACTGAGTCTGATCCATAGCACTAAGTCTGATCCATAGCACTGAGTCAATACATAGCACTGAGTCAATACATAGCACTGAGTCTGATCCATAACACTAAGTCTGATCCATAACACTAAGTCTGATCCATAGCACTGAGTCTGATCTGTAGCACTGAATCTGATCCATAGCACTGAGTCTGATCCATAGCAATGAGTCTGATCTGTAGCACTGAATCTGATCCATAGCACTGAGTCTGATCCATAGCACTGAGTCAATACATAGCACTGAGTCTGATCCGTACACTGAGTCAATACATAGCGCTGAGTCTGATCCGTACACTGAGTCAATACATAGCACTGAGTCTGATCCATAACACTGAGTCAATACATAGCACTGAGTTTGATCCATAGACACTAAGTCCAATCTATATCACTGAATCTGATCTAAAATAGCAGACAAAGCACTGAAGGTAACAAAGTACAGGCATTTTGATAATCTTTCCATGTCCATTTATATACTTCAGAATAAAGAATCGGTGTTTTTCCCCCCATCATCAATCAACATTTTATATCTAAAATCAGACATCTAGGTATATGAAGTTATTATCAGACTACAAGATCTCAATATATCTTCTGCAGGTTTGTCATATAATAAGCTGGCACAGAAAACCACAGGTAAATTGATAGTAATATATTTAAGAATCGTGCTATCTCCATTTAACAGCCACTGTTTGTAATGACTT